TATGCTGGTGGGTAGTATGTACAGGGAGAGGAGTGCGGGGTGTATGGTGGTGCGTAGCATTCACAGGGAGAGGAGTGCAGAGTGTATGGCGGTGGGTAGTACAGTATGTATAGGGAGAGGAGTGCGGGGTGTATGGCGGTGCGTAGTATTTACAGGGAGAGGAGTGCGGAGTGTATGGCGGTGGGTAGTACAGTATGTATAGGGAGAGGAGTGCGGGGTGTATGGTGGTGCATAGTATGTACAGGGAGAGGAGTGTGGAGTGTATGGCAGTGGGTAGTACAGTATGTATAGGGAGAGGAGTGCGGGGTGTATGGTGGTGCGTAGTATGTACAGGGAGAGGAGTGCAGAGTGTATGGCGGTGGGTAGTACAGTATGTATAGGGAGAGGAGTGCGGGGTGTATGGTGGTGGGTAGTATGTACAGGGAGAGGAGTGCAGAGTATATGGCGGTGGGTAGTACAGTATGTATAGGGAGAGGAGTGCGGGGTGTATGGCGGTGGGTAGTACAGAATGTATAAGGAGAGAGAGTGCGGGGTGTATGGCGGTGGGTAGTACAGTATGTACAGGGAGAGGAGTGCGGAGTGTATGGTGATGGGTAGTATGTACAGGGAGAGGAATGCGGAGTGTATGGCGGTGGGTAGTACAGTATGTATAGGGAGAGGAGTGTGGGGTGTATGGTGGTGGGTAGTATTTACAGGGAGAGGAGTGCAGAGTGTATGGCGGTGGGTAGTAGTACAGTATGTATAGGGAGAGGAGTGTGGGGTGTATGGTGGTGGGTAGTATTTACAGGGAGAGGAGTGCAGAGTGTATGGCGGTGGGTAGTACAGTATGTATAGGGAGAGGAGTGTGCGGGGTGTATGGTGGTGGGTAGTATTTACAGGGAGAGGAGTGCGGAGTGTATGGCGGTGGGTAGTACAGTATGTATAGGGAGAGGAGTGTGGGGTGTATGGTGGTGGGTAGTATTTACAGGGAGAGGAGTGGAGTGTGTATGGCGGTGGGTAGTACAGTATGTATAGGGAGAGGAGTGCGGGGTGTATGGTGGTGGGTAGTATTTACAGGGAGAGGAGTGCGGAGTGTATAGCGGTGGGTAGTACAGTATGTATAGGGAGAGGAGTGCGGAGTGTATGGCGGTGGGTAGTATGTACAGGGAGAGGAGTGCGGAGTGTATGGTGGTGGGTAGTATGTATAGGGAGAGGAGTGCGGAGTGTATGGTGGTGGGTAGTATGTACAGGGAGAGGAGTGCGGAGTGTATGGCGGTGGGTAGTATGTGTAGGATGGTGTCAGTAGGTGGTGTCAGTAGTTCTTCATTTTTATTAGTATTATTTTATTTTTTTTACAATTTTATGATTTTTTTTACAGATTAATGTTTTATTATTTTTATATTAGTCTTGATGACATCAGGACCTTAGACCACTGGAACATGAAGGAGAAGATGCTGTGGGGACCAATTTATCAGCATGGGGAATAGGAGGATCGGGTAAGTAAATCTATTTTTCTATGCCCCCTCGACCTAAACGAGCAGTCAAGCCCTGCAGTGCATTGCAACCCCCCTGGCAAGGAGGAATTATCAAGTTTCTTGGAGTTCAGCTTTATGGTGGTCATTTGGGCTACTATAACAAGGACCTTTATGTTAAAGAAATAAAGATATATTGGTGTGGTACCTCAAGAATTTTGTCCCAAGCATTGTCCCATAATAATAAGGTTTTTATTGCTGTCTGTAAGGCTCACCCTCACTATTGATCTCCCCTTACTTTCTGCTGAGAGTCTGAGACACAAAATGAGACAAAAAAACAATGAGACATGGCTTAAAAAAAAATTTAAAAAGAAAGGACGGGGCTCTTAGCTACAGTATTTGCTGTTCTACCTAAAACCTCCCAAATACTTTCAATACCAAAGGTACATAGGAATCTTGGATCAATATTTGTTTTAAGATGAAGGTTTTGCAGAAACCCATATAGAGATTTAGTATTTTCAAAAGAGGAAACCATCAATGGCAGCCTTCCTAGTCCTTATACAGGTTTCCTTTTAAGGGATTAGCCAGCATAATTCCAAATGTCACAGCTGCCTTTGACCCTATGACTTGTAATACACAGTAAGCCCAATAAAACCCACCACTAATCAACATTAAAGCATTTCTAAAGCCAAAATTTTTTTTTTAGATTTGGAAAAGAGCAGGGAAAGATTAGAACCTTTGTCAGGTTTCTAATGTTCGCTGTGTCCCCGCTGGCGAGATTCACCTTATGTGAACACTGTCACCAAGACAGATGGTAATGGGAAATCCAAAGTTTTGCAATTGCTCCCAGAACAAGGGGTTCCAGTAGCAACTGTATAGGATAATATTAAGAATGAACTTTAGCTAAAGAACTTTCCTCAAGGGAGAAAGAAAGAAAGAGAAGGCGTGTCCTTGTTGGATCATCTATACTGCTGTTTTGCCTGTTAGCCATTGCATTGCAGCCAGGGACGTGGATAAGGGGGTACCACCAGTCCTCTGTACGGGGCCCAGGCCAGCAGGGGGGAACAGGCAGTTGGGTGAATCGGATGTTGGCAGGGAGGGTGTTCAGCATGGCAAGAGGGCAATTACTGAAACCGATCCCCTGTATGGTTTTCTGCAACAGCTGAAAGTTGAAAGTCTCCTCTCCCTCCCGCTGGCTTTCAGCTGTTGCAGAGAGATCCATACAGGGGATCAGTTCTAGTAATGGACCCCCCTCCACTCCCATCACCCTCCCTGTACACCATACGTTTCCCCCTGATGCCCAGGCCCCCCTTTGTGCCCCCACCCCCACAGTGCTGCCGGCTTCCCTCCTCTTCTTTCCACAGGTGGCTGCAAGCACACATTAGGATTCTTCAGAATGGAGACTGGGGGAAGGGTCCGGTAAATAAGTCACATTTATTAGCCCCTTCCTTTCCTGATTGAACACAACGAGTGATTGGTATCGATCACTGTGTTCATTGACAACTGAAGAATAGTAAACTTTGCTTTTTTAGGGGGTGGGCGCCTGTCAGGTTGGCTGTATGGGGCCCCGTGTTTTCTAACAGCAGCCCTGATTGCAGCACTAGAAGATCAGAGAAGGGAAGAGGAAGGGCATTACTACAATGAAGATTTCTCCAAGATCCAGCTGCTTGCAGAATGTGGGACATATGTAATTACAGCTAAACTTCAGCTTTAACCTACACTTTGGAGGGATTTCCTCTCTCTTTCTTCTTGTTGTGTCTTCGATACAGGGAAATCTCAGTAAAGTAGAGGTCTCCAAACTTTTCAGTACAAGGGCCACACTGTAAATTTTGCAAAAATTGATGGGCCCAAAAAAATCAGTTTTATAAATGAACATATCAAAAGTAAAGTGGTTGTAAAGGCTGAAGGTGTTTTACCTTCATACATTCTATACATGAAGATAAAACACCTTTAGGGCCCTTTCAAACTAGATTACAGTGTGGGAAAGCCACGTTCCCATGTGTCTCCCGTACCGCATTCCAGTCGCACTGCCCTTGCAATCTGCTGCAAAGTTAATGTCACTCTAAACGCAGTGCATTTGCCCACACCAGATCTCATGATACAAAAGTATCATGTGATCTTGTTGCCGTGCATTTCAAAAAGTAATGCATGCACTACTTTTTGCAGTACAATATCAGCCCATTCAAAATGAATGAAATCGCACTGCACAGAACTGCATGTCAATCGCACATGAACCACACAGCATGGCTGTGCGACTGACATGTAGTTCCTAGTGTGAAAGGGCCCTCCATGTGGAGCTCTCCCCTCAGCCCCTCCCCCAATACTTACCTAAGCCCGATATCGATCCAGAGACATGCTCTCCCGAGTCTCTCTCCTTGAGCATAGCAGCGGGAGCCAATGTCTCTTGCAGCTGTCAATCACAGCCAGTGAGGAGGGAGGCTGAGCTTTGTGTGTCTTGTAGACACACAGGGGCGGCTTGGGAGCGAGCACGCACGATGGCAGGAGGGGAGGAGCCAGGAGCGCCGGGAGGGGACCCGAAAAGAGGAGGAAGGGTTGCTCTGTGCAAAACCATTACACAAAGCAGGTAAGTATGACGTTTGTTGATTTTTAAAAAAGCGTGAACCTTCAGCATCGTTTGAAATGAATGAATATGTTTTTTTTTTTTGTAATCAGAATGATATAATTTAGGGCAACAGAGAAAAAATCTTCAGCAAACAAAGTAAAAAAATTCCAAATAAACCTGAGCCTCTTAAAGTCCCCACTTACATAAGTGTTTCCATCGGAGTCCCCTCTTACACTACAGGGCTGGCTGAAAGCTTGCAATTGGCTTCACTTTCGCCTGTAGGCCATAGTTTGGAGACCCCTACATTTAAAGCAGAGCTACACCCAAACGGGAAAGATCTGCTTGTCTGCCTCTTTTTTGGGTGGGATGGGTGAGCAGGTACCTGGTTTTGACCTGGTTCTGAGCCTGAAGCTCAGCCCCCCCTCCTTCACAGGTCCCAGAAGACTGTGGGACCAACCTCAAGGTGCAGCATGACTCGTGCATGCGCAGTAGTAAACCAGCTGTGAAGCCACAAGGCTTCACTTCCGATTTCTCTTACTTGCAATTCCTGCGTTGGCAACCCAGGGGCTAGTGAAGAACTAGCCCAGGTGACAACAGCGCTGGACCCCTGCACAGATAAGTGTCCTTATATTAAAAGTCAGCAGCTACAATATTTGTATCTGCTGACTTTTAATTTGTTTAGGGAGCCTGGAACTCCTCTTTAAGAAACACAGCAAAAAAAAAAAAAAAATTACAGGGTTTTCCCAACCATAAAGGTTTTGGTGTAGATACACCTAAAGCTAAAGTGGAGTCACCCATCTCAGTTAATCGAAATCTGTTCCAGATGACTGCAGGGAAAATCTGAAGTTATGACTGCTGGCCCCAGTGGAAGGCAGACACCAGAAGGTATCAGATGCATTCACACTGGTGAACCCCTTTAAAATGAAATGTATCCTCTTGACATATCACTTTTATATGTACGATGTCTGTCTTTGAGTTGTACACACCTGCATTTCTCTCACACTGCTTGAGTGGTAATACTCATTTTGCTCAGAAGACAACAAAGCTTCACATAGATTGAATTTCTGCAGCTCCAGCAGAGAGGACAACTTCTTGCTGGAGATGCTTTCTTTGGCCATACAAAAGACAGTGGTCATGATAGCTATCTTGGATGGATCCATCTCAGCTTTGATAACAGACTTCATCTCTTGGTGAAACTGTAATTCCATTGCCAATTGCTCCCTATTTACAGCAAGTGCCTGCTTGTGGGCACCAGAGGTCACGTGGCGTAAAAGTGCATGTCGTTGAAAATTGTCTGTACCCACGGTAAAGGCGTTCTCAGCCTTGCCATGCTTGTTCTTCACAAGGGCCTGACGGCACTCTACACAAAACATCAGCTTGCGATCGTAGTCAAACTCCAGCCAGGTGAACTCTTCCTTCCAGTGCTCATTGAAATACCGCTTGCATTTTTTGTTGGAGTTTGAGGTCTCACCTGCTGGCTTTTTTCCAGGGGTCACCATAACTCCGCTGCCACCCATTCTGAAATCAAACATTATGGAAGGGCTGCTGTTTTCCATGCTGCTATAAACTGAGAAAAGAGCCAGACTGGTGGATGAAAGAGACAAGGGAAAACATATTAGGGATCCAGCAATGTACTGCTTCACACACCAATACTGACAGACATTTTGGTGCACGATGATGATCAGCCTAGTCATCAGTGAACCAAAACATCTGAGGCTCCTATTGTAAGAGGCATATATTTCCAGCAGTTCCTAGTCTATGTGCCACATGCTATATTACAGTCCTATGAAAGAAATGGGCCATGCACTGCTAGGCAAGCTAAACATATTCATATTATGATCAATACTGGCCATGAGCGAATATTATTAAAGAGGAACTCTAGTCTTTTACAGTTTTGTTAGGATGTGTATGAATGTTATTGATGTAATGGAAACAAACCTAAATTGAACTCTGGAAATTTGTAAAACTTCACTTTGCAAAGAGGATCCCAGCACTGCAAGGGTTAGGTGCTCATTTTGTCCAGGGGGAATGGAATATGCCATAATCTGTAGCTTATTCCTAGCTACCCCAGCTAACAAAACATTTACAATGATGTATGTGAAACACAAAAATCAAATAAAGGGCAGCAACGAAGTGAAAATTTAAATGATCAAAGCTGCTTTTAGGTAAATCTTATAATCATAACTTCAATGCAAACTCCAGAAAAAAAGAAAATAAAGCCTTAAAGGAGAAGTATAGCCAAAGCTATTTTGGCTATTTTTCTCCAATAGGTATTAGGAGTGGAATTCTTTCTGCACTCCTGTGACCCGTTTTCAGCAGACAGAAGGTTAAACTGCCTTTTATTTAAAGTGGTTGTAAATGTCAGACATGAAATATGAACCAAGCACATCCATCTATAGTGTGTGCTTGTTTCAATCCAAAGTACTAAGTGGCATTTCTATCTTCTGCCTCATTCCTCTGCTATAAGCATGACTCATTTCTGATAAGTTTTCCTGAAACCAAGAGAAAAATGGTAAAAGGGTAGGGCACAGCCTGAGATTGACAGCCTCAACTCTGTTCCTGTGTGTTGTGTGAAGGTGGTGGTGGTGGTGGTGGTGGTGTGGGGGGGGGTCCTTCACTTGAACAAAATTGAGCTGCATAGTTGAGTTGCCAGAAATAAGCCTTACTGCGCCAATGCCACAAAAAAGCCTGGTTACAATATACCTGACACCTTGACATGCCTCACAGCTTCTGACATACTGTAATCTGGAGTGATGAGACCAAATAAAGCTTTATGGTCACAACCATAAGCGTTATGTTTGGAGAGGGGTCAACAAAGTCTATAGTGACAAAAATACCATCCCTACTGTGAATCATGGTGGTGGCTCATTTTTTTTTGGGGGGGGGGCTCTAAAGGCACAGGGAATCTTTTGAAAATTTATGGCAAGATGAATGCAGCATTCTTCTGCACTCTTGGACTTTCCAGCACGGCAATGACCCTAAGCACAAGGCCAAGTTGACCCTCCGGTGGTTACAGCAGAAAAAGGTGGCCATCACAGTCTCCTGACCTACAGTTGTGGCCAAAATTATTCAACCCCCACTGAAATTGAGTGTTTTGGCCAGTTTGACATTGCTTTTGATCATTCAGTCATCTTGCTTACATTTACATTAAAGAGGCACTTGTAGGTCAGACAAATATAACATAACAGTTATAATGAAATAACCACAAATGTCTTTTCTGTGCTCACACAGCATTATCAGTTTTATTCAACCCCCAAGTGACATTCAATCTTAGTACTTAGTACAGCATCCTTTTACAGTTATAACAGCTTTTAAACGTGAAGCATAGCTTGACACAAGTGTCTTGCAGCGATCTACGGGTATCTTCGCCCATTCTTCATGGGCAAAGGCCTCCAGTTCAGTCACATTCTTAGGCTTGCGCACTGCAACTGCTTTCTTTAAGTCCCACCAGAGGTTCTCAATCGGATTTAAGTCTGGTGACTGCGATGGCCACTCCAAAATGTTCCAGCCTTTCCTCTGCAACCATGCTCTAGTGGACTTGGAGGTATGCTTGGGATCATTGTCCTGTTGAAAGGTCCAACGTCTCCCAAGCCTCAGGTGTGTGACGGACTGCATCACGTTTCCATCCAATATCTCCTGGTACTGAAGAGAATTCATGGTACCTTGCACACGCTGAAGCTTCCCTGTACCTGCAGAAGCAAAACAGCCCCAAAGCATGATTGACCCTCCACCATGCTTCACATAGGCAAGGTGTTCTTTTCATCATAGGCCTTGTTCTTCCTCCTCCAAACATAGCGTTGATCCATGGACCCAAACAGTTCTAATCAGTCCACAGAACACTATCCCACAACTTTTGTGGTTTGTCCACATGGCTTTTGGCATACTGCAGTCGACTCTTCTTATTCTTTGGAGACAGCAAGGGGGTACGCCTGGGAGTTCTGGCACGGAGGCCTTCATTACGCAGTGTGCGTCTTATTGTCTGGGCTGAAACTTCTGTACCCACATCTGACAAATCTTTTCTCAGTTCCTCAGCAGTCACACGGGGACTTCTCTCCACTCTACGCTTCAGGTAGCGCACAGCAGTCGAAGTCAGCATCTTCTTTCTGCCACGACCAGGTAGCGTTTCAACAGTGCCCTTTGCCTTGAATTTGCGAATGATGCTTCCTAAGGTGTCTCTTGGTATGTTTAACATCTTTGCAATCTTCTTATAGCCATTGCCCTTCCTGTGAAGAGAAATCACCTCTTCTCTTGTCTTCCTGGACCATTCTCTTGCCTTCACCATGTTTGTAACCACACCAGTAAATGTCTAGAAGGAGCTGAGTATCACAGTCATTTTAAAGCTGCCTAATTGGTGCTTATTATGCTTGATTGCTGCTCGGTGACATCCACAGGTGTTTTCAATACCTGATGGAAAGCACCTGTATGAACCTCTGTTCTTCAGAGTGGTAGTCTTTAAGGGGTTGAATAATTGTGGCAATGAAGAAACCACATAAGAACCATTTACTACTGTATTACATAAACAATTGATGTCATTTTAGTTGCATTTGGGTAGTTACAACGTCCTTGTAGGATTTGATTCTGAATACAATTCCAAATGTACACTATAGTCCCTAACCCTTTACAGCATTGGGGGTTGAATAATTTTGGCCACAACTGTAAATGTCATTCAGCCAATCTGGGGAGATCTCAAACGTGCGGTTCATGCAAGACAAAGACTTTACATGAACTGGAGGCATTTTGCCAAGACAAATGGGCAGATATACCACTTTCAAGAATGCTGGGCCTCATAGACAACTATTACAAACGACTGTATGTTGTCATTGATGCTAAAAGGGGCAATACACAGTATTAAGAACTAAGGGGATGCAGACTTTTGATCAAGGCTCATTTCATTAGTTTTTTTGTTGCCATGTTTTGTTTTATGATTGTACCATTCTGTTGTGACCTACAGTTGAATATGAATCCCATAAAAAATATAAGAAATGCATTTTGCCTGCTCACTCATGTTTTCTGTAAAAATGGTACATCCTGTATATTACCAATTCTCCAAACTTCTGAGCACAGCTGTACCTTAAACAGACATCTAGCATTACATGGCATCCCACAGTGACTGAGAAACCAAAGACTACTGGCACCTGTGTTCATCACACCGAATAAATGTTCTGATTGGGACTTACAAAGTCATGCTCAGGAATGGTGACTACAGGTTAAATGTGCATGAGCAGTATATAATGGGGATGCGACAAATGTGTGAATTACATGAAATGGAGAAAGTCATTACTGCCAGCATGTGCATTTCCACACTTGGAGCACAACAACTCTGGTGGATGACCGTATTACTAGAAGTAATAACACGCTCTCTCTAAATAGATATAAAAGGGATAGAAACACATATTGTAAGCTGGCATTTAAGCAGAAAAAGTTAGTCATGAATCTTTTCCAGTTAAAATAACAGAAGGCAAATGCATGGAAGAATGGTTAGGGCGAGATTGTTAGTGCAGACGTTGAGGATAGTGATGTAATGGCTCATACATACATACCCTGTACAGGATGATGGAGCTTATATGAACTTTCCAGGCTGCACCAAAACACACTGCCCTATCCTCCTCCTCCTCCTGCCCTGTGTTCAGACACACAAAGAGGAGCTCTCTCCATGCACTGCTCCCTCTGTTCAGTAAAGCACTGAGCCCCACTCTTACAGGAAGGTCACTCGTTCCTTAATAAACAGTTAAAGGGAGATGCATCCAGCTCTGGAGAAAGACGCTTGTCTGCAAGCAGCCGCAGAAACACAGAGCCATGGGAGCAGCCATAGTGTGTGCCTGTGCGAATGTGAGTGTGCGTCCACTGCTCTGCAGCATTGTCAGTACTGCCACCTAGTGTATGGGGATGTGCACACACCTCTGCTCTTATCCACACAAACCTGCATCTCATGTGCAGGCTACAGATTAAAGGTATAGTCCACCTTTTGGAAAAAAAATGAATAAACGCACTTACAATCACGCAATAATGTGCATTTGTTACTTTTAAAATTGCAGAGCATTGCAGTCATGATCAGTGTATCATGGGGCATGCAATGCACAGGCTTTTACATTGCTCACCACCCTCCCCAGATCTGTATGGGGGTACTCAGGGCTGCTGTTATAAACCACAGGGTCCCATACAGCCAACTTGACAGCCCTCCCCCCCAAGAAAAACAGTTTACTTTGCTTTATTTATGAATAAACACAGTGAGTGATCGGTACCGTTAAGTCATTGTGTTCGTTTGGGAAAGGAGGGGGCTGGTAAATGTGACATTTACTGGACCCTTCTCCCACTCTCCATCCTGAAGAATCCTATTATGTGCTTGCAGCTGCTGGTGGGAAGGAGAGGAGGAAAGTCAGCAGCATTGCGGGGGTGGGGGCACACAGGGGAAACTGGCACGGTGAACTGTATGATGCACAGGGAGGGTGATGGGTGCAGCGAGGGGGCAATTACTGGAACTGATCCCCTGTATGGCTTTCTCTGCAGCAGCTGAAAGCAAGCAGAAAGGAGAGGAGAAGAAGCCAGATCTCAGCTGCTGCAGGGAGAGCCATACAGGGGATCAGTTCCAGTAATTGCCCCCACTGTGCTGATCACCATCCCAGCCCACATCCGATTCACCCTGCTGCCTCGGCCCTGTACAAGAGAACTGGTAGTACCCTTATCCAAGGCTCTGGGGGTACTGACCTTCTATTATGGGTTGGAGGAAATAATGAAAAGTGCGGTAACGTCACTGTCTTGCTGCTGCTGTGCTTTGCTGAGTCCTTCTACATGGCCACAGATATATTCCTTCACAGAGTCCTGTGAATGAATGACGCAGCTGTGCCGGTGCAGCCATGCTCAATAAAAAAAATAAAATAAAAGATGTCTGCTGTCAGAACATGGAGCTTATCAGGTAATTAGGGAGGGTAGGAACCCCCTAACTATGGGTGTAACATAAAAGTTGGTCCAAAAGGTGGACTGAGCCTATAAGACACATAGGGGTTTTATTTACTTAGGGTTCATGTACACTGCAGCTGATAAACTGATGTTCAGGAGCTTTTCTGCATTTTGTTCAGCAGCCCCTGAACTCCCCCTAATGGTTTCCTATGTGTCCATGTACACATCGTCGTTTACAGTTGTTTACAGGCAGTTGAGTTTACAGACGTTTTTTTGAAAGCACCAAACATGCGTTCAGGAATAGATTTTACCGGCATTTTTAACCGCATTTTAAGCATTTGTGTTTAGAAGTGTTTTTTAACTGTTCCATGTCCAGATGCTGTCCAGAGCCTTTTTCATCATCAGATATGCATACAAAGCGTTTTCCATGTATTCAAATGGACCCAGTACACCAGCGCAGTCAGTTCCAGGTTTCGCGTGCAGGAAAAATGGTTGAATGTGCTGCATTATGCTCATGATGGGATCCATAGTGAATACAACCAGAGAAGACAGGTCATCTCAACACATACTGCTCTCTCTGCTTCTGCTCTCTCTATTCCTCTCAAAATGTATGAAATAGTTAATTTTTTACTATTTTCCAGTACATTCTGGGCATTTGGGAAAGTCTCCTGAGGTTATCTTTTAAAAAATGCTTCTAAACGCAAACGCATATAAATGCGGTATGCAAAAGCGGCCATTGTTCAGAAGAGTTTTCCAAACCCCCCGTGTACATGAGCCCTAAAGCTGGAGAGTGCAAAATCAGGCTCACTTCTGCATAGAAAAAAATCAGCTTCCAGGTTTTATTGTCAAAACTTAATTGAACAAGCTGGGGTTCGAAGCTGATTGCTTTCTATGCAGAAGTGAGACTGATTTTGCACTCTCCGGCTTTAGTAAATAAACCCCAAATTGTTTTGTGTGAACTCAGCAATTTGCCCCATGAGTGCGACAAATTCAAGTAGTTCTCATTTACAACATTTTTATTATTATGGCACTGCAACAAATTGAAAAAGAAATAGCGCCATGTTGGTAATAAGGAAAGTGGAGGTAAATAAGACATCTTCCACATCGGAGTTGGTACAGCACCAGGCACACAGAAAACAATTGTGTTCAAAGTGTCCTGTTCACACCACAACTCTGCCTTGAGGTGGGCTGCAGTCCATTGTGTAAAAATAAACACATGCTCTTTTCCTGTAACACAGCTCACTGTAAGTCACTGCCTAATGAATGAGATTTCATTTTGAGAAATCTCAATAAAGTTTAAAAAAAAAGAAAAGAAGAAAAAGCTAAACAGTGCCTTGCTTTTGTAACAATGCAAGGCACAGTCCCCCAACTGCCCTTTCTCAACAGACACCAGCCTGCACGCTAAAATGGCTTGTTTCAGTATATGGGCTGTGAATGAGCTCTAACTGCAGTAAAGTCAGAAATTCGACTCAATTTATGGCAGATCTGTTTGATCAGTATGCGTTTAATGACATCATAAGCAATAGCTATAAGCAGGTTTCTTACAAGGCTTCCAGATGAGGCTGCAGCCTCTTGTCATAGGATTCCGTGCTGTTAATGCAAAGCCAAACTGAAGCCATCAGAGTAGGTGAACTGGTGAACTGCCTCATTTTCACAGTCCTCGATTGATGCCTGTTCAACTTATAACAGTAAGGGCTCATGTACACGGGGCATTTGGAAAACTCTTCTGAACGATGGAAACTGACTGCTGGAAAACATAGGTTAAAAAATGTCAGTTTAGCCGCATTTGCATACCACGTTTATGCGTGTTTGCGTTTAGAAGCGTTTTTAAAAGATAACCTCAGGAGACCTTCCCAAATGCCCAGAATGCACTGAAAAATAGTAAAAAATTAACCATTTCAGACATTTTGAGAGGAATAGAGAGGGCAGAACCAGAGGGAGCAGTATGTGTTGAGGTGACCTGTCTTTTCTGGTTGTATTCACTATGGATCCCATCATGAGCATAATGCAGCACATTCAACCATTTTTCCTTCACGTGAAACCTGGAACTGACTGCACTGGTGTACCGGGTCCATTTGAATACATGGAAAACACTTTGTATGCATTTCTGATGATGAAAAAAGGCTCTGGACAGCATCTGGATATGGAACAGTTAAAAAACGCTTCTAAACGCAAATGCTTATAAACATGGTTAATTGCGTTTACACGCATTAGGCGTTTGAAATGCCGGTAAAATCTACTCCTGAACACAAGTTTGATGGGTTCAAAAAAATAACTGTAAACTCAACTGCCTGTAAACAACTGTACACGACGATGTGTACATGGACAGATAGGAAAACATTAGGGGGAGTTCAGGGGGGCTGCTGAAAAAAATGCTGAACAGCTCCTGAACGTCAGTTTATCTGCTGCAGTGCCCTAATTCCAGGCATTGTACTCAGCTGCAGAAGATGAAAACCAGAAAAAAGAGAAGACTGAGTAGGTAGGATGTGTTCACTAAACTTCAATGTAAAGATACTGACATTCAAAGGATAAGTTCACCTTTTGGAATGTTACACTAATATTAACCCCTTGGCGCCCTTTAGGGGTTTCAGAAGCCGGGAGGCGGGGCAGAGTTTTAGGGTCATGTGACTGCCGTGATTCGCTGTCATGGTAGTCACATGATCAGGAAAGGTCCCGATCGAAAGAAGAGATTGGGACCTTTCCATGAGTACCATACATGTGTGCTGGGAGCACGCAGGGTGCGTGCTCTCAGCACATATGTTTTTCTTAATTGCACGCAAATGTGCGACCGCTCGGCATCCTGGCCCAGATGCCGGGAGGCCGCACATTTGCATGCGACCCATGCCAAGAGGTTGAGGGTGTAACGTACTGTGTTTCAAATCACCTGCTTTTCACCTCCAGAGCCCCCAACCCATGAAAATGGGTAGGGGTTCCTCTCCCCTGCACAGTCACGTCACAGGGCTCCGCCTGCACAGCCACGTCACTCATTCACAGGGATATGTGAATGAATAAACTACAAGTCCCATCTTCTACCATTGTAAACGGCTTGAAGTTTTCAATGGACTAGGAATGCACAGACCAGCGCACTCGTAGTCCATTGACACTTCCTCCAGCTTTCTAACTGAAAGTCCATATGAAGGTACAGAAGAAAGCTGAAGGGCTTGTCTGCAAGAGTCTGACATTGCAATCATGATTCACTGATCGCAGGTTCAATGCTTTGCAGGATCCTGTGTGACATAATTTAAAATGCACTTTTTTAGCACACAAATCTGTGCATTTGTTAATTTTTCCCTAAAGGTGAACCTAGTCTTTCAGCTGCACACAGTACCCTTAAAGTGGTTGTAAAGGGTGAAAGTTTTTTACCTTCATGCATTCCATTCATGTAGGTAAAAAGCCTTCAGTGTGCTGCTCCCTCCTCAGCCCCCCTAATATTCACCTGAGCCTAATGTACATTCAGTGCTGTGCACAGGAGCCTTGGCTCTCCCGGGTCTCTCCATCCTCACTGGTTGAGACACAGCAGCAGCAGGCATTGGCTGTCAATCACAACCAGTGAGAGGGGAGCAGGGTGGGACTGAGCCACGCTCTGTACGTTCCATAGACTCATAGAAGCAGTTCAGCAAGCATGCACGAGTACCCCCAGAGCAAGCAGCTTACGGTGAGGGCACTCGGCAAAGGTAGAGGCACCGCAAGCGCCTGAGAGAGACTCAAGAAGAGGAGGATGAGGGCTGCTCTGTGCAATGATTTTGCATAGAGCAAGTAAGTATAACATGTTTGTTATTTTAACCACTTCCCATCCACCCCATAGCAGAAATACTGCTACAGGGCCGCACAGGTGCGCAAAATCACATATATATGTGATTTTGCATTTCAGGGTAGGGGGGCACGTGCCCTACTCATGCTGCTATTCACGGGCATGGCTGTCAATCACCAGCTCCTGGCTGGTAATTACTCGCCAGTGCCCAGTGATTTCTGACGATCTCCGACAGGGAGGAGAACTGTTTGTTTATTAACAGTTCTCCGTCAGCTTGGGCACACTGCTTTGGATGGCTGTGCACAGCACAACCATCCAAAGCAGTGTGCTTACAGTGAAGCACACCGACATGGCCCCCTATGTAAAACACTCCCAGCACACAGTTTACCCTTTGATCACCCTTCATGTTAACCCCTTCCTGCCCAGTGCCATTAGTACAGTGTCAGTGCTTTTAATTAGCACTGATTACTTTATTGGTCTCACTGGGGGTGTCAGTGACACCAAGTCAGTTCCCCCCAGTGTCAGAATGCCCCGCCGCAGTCCCACTATAAGTCATTGATCGCGGCCATTACTAGTGAAAAAAAAAAATTACAGTATCTATACTGCCATTTCTAAATGCTAAAACTTTCACGTAAACCAATTTGCTTATACGAATTGGGATTTGTTTTAGCAAAGACATGTAGCAGAATACAATTTTGGCCTAAATTTATGACAAAAATTAGATTTTTTAATTTTTTTTACTGGACATGATTAATAGTAAAAAGTCAAAAATATTGTTTTTTTCTTAAAATTGTTGGTGTTTTTTTTTATAGCGCAAAAAATAAAAAACACAGAGGTGATCAAATACCACCAAAAGGAAACTCAATTAGTGGGGAAAAAGGACGCAAATTTAATTTGGGTGTAGCGTTGCATGACCGCGCAATTGTCAGTTAAAGTAACACAGCACCGAAACGCAGGCTAAATTCTCTCTGGTCAGGCTAAATTCTCAGGAGGGCAAGTGGTTAAAGAAAAGAATATCACCAATTTAAAACCTTAACAATAACCAAATTTTAGTTGTGAATATAATGTGAAACAGTTAAAATCTATGTCAGGCTTTCATTTCTGTCTGTGACATCATTTGGGAAGTTTCTTTTCACTTTCTGTCTCTGTGACACCCCTACAAGAAATGAAAACTAGATTTGTCACTGGGACAGCATTAAAAATCTTGTCAGACATTCTAACCCTTCCCTACTTTACTATAATGTGTGTTTTGTCTATGTCTTTGTTTACCATCACTTACTTTTCTGGCAGGATATAAAGTAAAATCTCCTTGAAGAATTCCAGGTATGGATATTCTATACAAAGTTACATTGTTCCAGCTTGGACCAATGTAACTATGATTGCCATACCTGGCCGTTGCCTCTGGAAACTGGAAATCACTGAAGTAGACACCACTACACCACTGATCTCCACTTGTTTCCAGGTCCTGCGCCGAGCAGCTACCCTGTGCATTCTGAACACAGGAGGTCTCCCCCATTCAGAGAATGCTTTGTATTCCAATTGTACTGGATGAGGTGGAGAGTGTGATGTTACTACCCGCCTCTCCACTTGGTCCAATAAGAGAATGCTTTGCATTCATTTAGAAAGTGTAATGCATTCTCTGAATGGTGCCCATGCTGAGTGGCTAACCTCCTGTGTTCAATAAGCAGCAGGGCATCTCTGCTGGGACCCAGGAGCAAGTGGAGATCACTGCAGCATCTACTAATGATTTTCAGCTTCCAGAGAGATGGGCCAGGTATGGTATATGTATAGTTACATTGGTCCAAGCTAGACCAATGTAATTATGTAAAAATATCCATAATAATTTTTGGATTGGGTATTGTGCACTTTTTTTGGTGGGGGTTGTAGTTATCCTTTAAGTTCATGAATGACAGTTTGCAATTATGATACGATTGCAAATGGTATTCATCTGAGTTTTTAAAAGTACAGTTTGATACTAACTGTACTTTTGTCCTTCAGACAAACACCTAGAGAAAACTGACAGAAATTGAGAAGGGAGACTGGAATGTTCTGCTTCTTGGCGTCTGGATGTACAGGTCTCCAGAGGATCATGGGAAGTGTAGTTTTGCAACAGCTGGACAACCACATGTTGATCTTTTTTGTTGCTGAGTTTTGACTATATAAAGCACGTTTTTTCACACTGTGAACTCTTTAGAAGGCTTACACTGCCAATATGTAATAATACAATAGGTATTATTTTCTTACATGTATAAGAGAATGTTGCAGATATAAAAGATATACTTTGAGAGTAAAAAAAAGTCAAAAATGTTTACATTTCTAAATAACGTCAAAGGTGATTTTAACCCTAAAGAGCCTTTCAGACGAGCAGCATCCACTCTGTCTCTTTCTGTTTCTTAATGAAAACTATCATTTTCATTAAAGTGGAACTTTATGGGGGAGGGATGACACAACAAGATTTTTTACCGCATACTATGTCTCTTCTGAATTAAAGGTCGTTGCATAGTTACATAGTTAGTCTGGCTGAAAAAAGACAAAAGTCCATCCAGTTCAACCACAAAAGCCACAGTTGATCCAGAGTAAAGCAAAAAAAAAACCCAGCAAAGCATGATCCAATTTGCTCCTGCATGGGGAAAAAATTCCTTCCTGATCCACCAAGAGGCAATTCCCTGGATCAACTGTTAGTATCCAGTTATATTCTGTGTATCTAGGAAAGAATCCAGGCCTTTTTTAAAGCAATCCACTGGGCTGGCCAGAACCAACTCTTGAGGGAGTCTATTCCACATTTTCACAGCTCTTACTGTAAAGAAACCTTTTCATATTTAGAGATTACATTTCTTTTCCTCGAGATGTAAAGAGTGCCCCCTTGTCCTCTGTGATGACCTCAGGGTGAATAACTCTACACCAAGTTCACTATATGAACCACTGATGTATTTATACATGTTGATCATATCCCCCCTTAATCTCCTCTTCTCAAGAGAGAAAAAAATTCAGTTCCTCTAATCTTTCCTCATAGCTGATCTCCTCCATGCCTCTTATCAGTTTGGTTGCCCTTCTCTGTACCTTCTCCAGTTCCCCAATGTTCTTTTTGTGAATTGGTGCCCAAAACTGAACTGCATATTCCAGATGAGGTGTTACTAATGATTTGTACAGGGGTAATATGATATCTCTCTCTCTCTTTTAATACAAGAGAGGATTTTGCTCACTTTAGAAACCGCAGCTTGGCATTGCATGCCATTATTAAGCTTGTGATCTACCAGAACCCCCAGATCCTTCTCCACCATTGGTTCCCCCAGTTGTACCCCCCCTAGTATGTATGATGCATGCATATTCTTAGCCCCCAAGTGCATAACCTTACATTTATCAATATTAAACCTCATTTGCCACATAGTTGCCCAATTAAACAGTGCATTGAGGTCGGCTTGTAAATTGGAGACATCCTGTAAGGACGTTATTCTACGGCACAGCTTGGTGTCACCTGCAAAGACTGAAATGGGATTTTTAATCCCATATCATTTATATGAACCTGTCTCTTTGTCCTTTACACTGAACTCCCATTCATGTGCGGGAGTGATGTCATCTCAGCCTGGGCAGTAAAAATGCCCCAAAGATTAGTACCCGGAAGCAGACCAGCTGAAGATTGGTAACTGGTGAGGATCACAACTGATGGGGATCACTAAGATATCACATCGCTGGAGCGAGGGTGAGTATAGTTCTGCTTTAAATATATATAATCCCCATCACTTAAATCTTATTTAAGCTTTACCGGGTTAATGTTATTTCCAAGGTTTTTTTAATTTTTTTAAATTTGCAGATTTTATTACAAAATACTGTACTTCGTGATCCTGCCATAAAGCTCCTTATTTTAGAAAAATCCTCCTATAGGGTGACAATGCACTCTACTGGCTCCCATTCATGCCACTGCATTGTGGTCTGGTCAAAAGCACCTTTGATGGAGACTACAAGTAGCCAATATTTAGATTATGCAGCTATGGTCCCCTGTTGCCCCTATCAGGAAATCAGCCCTAGGAAATGGCCTGAAGTCATTACCGGAGTATATAGAACAGGCTGCAGGAGAGATGCAGCAAGGAGGAGCATAGGTGAAAACATGCTTTAGCATTCATTTAGGGCCTATTCACACTTGTGTGTATTGGCAATTCTCGAGAATTCCAGTGATGAGATGTCCACCCTTGTTGCTCCACACTTTGACTTGCTCAGCACCATGGGGTCTCCTTTTGCTGCATTCACTGTAAAACAAATGGAAAAACCCCAGCATGGATCATTATGCCCTCTTGCAAACTCAGCACTGGATGAGCAAACTGGAACTTACATCTACACCCCATAAGATTCCAACATTCAAAGGTGATACACACTGAAAAATGAAATATTAGTCTTGTGCACTGACCCTTTGTGTTTTATTGGATTGCCTTTAAAATAATATTCAGAGGGACACATGGGAGCCTGCTTCCAAGGGTGCCAAGATTTGGGGACTTATCTCCATACATCATGGACTTGTCCAGTAGTACGACTATGGACTGGGGGGGACTCAGGTCTACAATATGTTAGCTTTTCTGCTGGGCACTTTAATCCAGATGTTGACCACTACTCAACTTAAGTACCGCCGGACTTCTAAATTGCCAATTCAAACGAATGACCCCTTCCTGACGGTTACCAAAAAAACGCAAGCGCAAGCTTGGCTACCTGAATCCCTCTTGATATCAGCAGTAAAAATAGACTCTGTATAACCTTTATTATTGATAAATCAAAATCGAATGGACAAAATGTCCAAATACCATTGGGGGGGGGGGTTCCATCTGCTTTTGCTTTGGAGACTTTCATAAGATGTGGGGTGTCTCCCACCCTTCACTCTCTCCCCTCCTTCCCCCCACCTACCTTGCTTTTTCACTCTTTTTCTTTCCTCTACTTCAAATCAGTTCTTCAGTGTTGAGATATTATTAGACTTTGTCAATCCCATTTTAATTGTAAAGACACTGCACCCAGTTTCATTTGCTGCATTCCTTCTGTATTACGCTTCAATAAAAATTATTGGCTGAAAAAAATATTCAGTATTTATTTCCCCCAAACTTTGACTATTAATAGTTTTAATCTTTATACATTTTTTTTACTTTGTTACATTATTCGTAGTTCCTATTAATAAATGCAGTTATGTAACACGGCTAGTCTAATAAGCTAAATTCCTGCAATGCGCACATCACAAACAAGGTGACATGAGGTAGGATGTAACGGTTTTGCTTGGAGGCTTTGATTAAACTAGAAGCTGACCTCAATATGGCGAGAGAGATTTGTCTCTAACAGCCTGGGGCCCACAGATGACATTTGGAATAACCTACTGCTGCGTGTTATCAAAGCAAGGAGTCAATAAGAAATTAACAGACTTCAGAAATTCCTCAAGTAACGGAATTTAGCTGTGAAGGCCATTTCCTCTAAACAGCTGCAATCAAAGGCAGTCTTACAAGTAGCCAGACAGTAAAGCTAGGGTCTTCGTGGCTCAGAAAGGGTGGAAAGAAGAACAAGGCCCGAAGCCATGTACTT